ACCTCTTCTCAGGACCTTCATAAAGCCATGTGTTACTGGTGGTTAATGGAGATAGTCCTGTTGACATTTGTTGTTCATGTTGGGGTAGAACAATTTACACTTTAATCATTATGTAATTCCACCGAAGCACTCTCACCTCAAGCTGGGCAGAGGTCTAATACAACTGCAAACAGCAGTGTGGGTGGCAGGGCCTTTCATTGAAAGTGATACATAGATCTTTTACTGCAAGTAAACAATGCATCACATACCCGCTGCATTCACTAAAAACCTGCTCGACATTAGTATAATTACCATTATAAAAAGATAAAATGTTTCATCTTCGTAAAATTCTTAACAGAAGTCAGTCACATAATTACTCCCACCCCGCACCCCACCCCCACCTCACCCCGTCACACCTCACCCTCACCTCATTGTCAGGACAAACACTTTGTTGGCTGTCTTGAAATGTTTTGTGTTCTCATTAATAGAGCAGATGCAAGAATTTGGAAAAGATAACATGAGAGTCTGTGGATGAATTAAATGGTTATAAAACACAGGAATACAATCACTCAGCGGTGAGCCGACTCAACAGAGGAAAATGAAAAAGACAGACAAAACTGAATTCACACTACAGCCTACAGACCTCACACTACAGCGGACAGGGTTGCAAATTGGTCCTTTGTGTGTCTGTGTCATGTGTTTGCACGTATGTCCAATTCATATTAGTAAACAAGAGCTTCTGTGGGTCTACATTGGCATGCACATGTTTATTTATTCTTATATTCAGGGTAAAAAGTGTGTGTGTGTGTGTGTGTGTGTGTGTGTGTGTCTGTTAGCACACCAATTAAGGTACTTGACCTTCAGATGCACGTATGTCTGTCACATCACTAATACATGCACAGCGGGAGTTCCACTGCTACATTTAGACAAATGAGCGCCTTTGCATATAAATGGAGTAGTAAACAATAATATAAACAACATTTATGTAACAGATAATAACAGTAAGCCTAGCATCATACAGTCCATGGAATCTGACTTTAGCACATCTATAATGAATGAACAGTCAGTATTTTGCTTCGTCTCGTAATGATTAATATTTGAAATATTTCATTTCACTCTCTGTGTATTCTGTTTTTAAAGTGCATGGGCACACACAGAAATTACTGGAAATTCTACTGTTTTTATTTTCATATCTGTTTTTACTCCAGATTAGATACAGTGTGAACACTAATTAGAAATCTTGGATTGAATTGCTGTTTTAATTCTTTTATTAGCTTGAACCCATCAGTTCAGACAGCCCAAAAAACATGTTGCACACAGGAGCTCTACCAGTACTTTTCATGTAGTGCTTTTGTACTTTCTTAAATAATGCTTGAAAAAAAAACTATCCAAATAAATATACTTTCCCTGATGTGGCCCTTTAATAACACTGAAATAACACACGAAATTCAGGTAAATACATTTGCAAGGCATTGGCTTATAACAAAGATATGTACGATGAATTCCCAACACCAATAACTCAACACACAACCACATGCATTTTGTAGAGTTAAGGTATTTTTAAATCAAACCAAGCTTTGAGATTATAATTCTATTCCAAGATCTGGTGTATTAACGCACTGAAACAGGGCGTTGGGGTGGCACTTGATACCAGAAGTGACTATGACATTTTAAGGGGTTAAAAGTAGGTGGTTACAAAATTTGAGGAATGGGAACTGACACACGCCTTCACCCTATCATTAAGAATCACTTTGCCTTGCTATACCATCCATCGAAAGAAACAGGATAGGTCAATTTCATTCATCCAGTTGTCAGCAATAAATGTTGAGACTTTGGACAATGGAGAGAGTTTAGAATTACACTGGCAATGCTGTTTAAAGCAAACACATAGAAAGGACCTACTCTGACTAAAACTCTGATCAACACCAATGACATCAGCAAATGAGTCTGACACTGCAAAATGTGTGGGTCACAACGTACACATTAATATGCAAAATACATATGTAAGGGCTATGCACACGCAGCGGAGAAACACATATTGTAGGAGACACATTCATCCTCCAGGTCTTGCCACCAGGCTCCTTTTCGGTTCTCTAGCCTGATTTTAGTGCACAGTTGCTGGATACAGGAGAGCACTCCCTATATACATAAGAATACACCAAGAAGTGGATGAGAAATACATTTACTCTGGTGGCTCTCCGTGCTGTTCATACATATTTTAAAGTCAAAGCCATAAAGCCATTTTTCTCCCTCTTTTAGTGTGTATTTTTGTGAATATGTGTGTGTGTGTGTATCACCAGGTTCACCCATAATTCCATCCTCTATCTTTTATTTATCTATCTACAGTAACGTGTCATTGCATTTTTATATTGCCTAAAATAGAGGGAACCATAATAAAGGTTGATTGGGCAGCTGTTTACAGACATACCTTACCAGCTTGTGTGATCAATCCCCATCAAAGACAGCCCAAAAATGTAACAGGGAAAGCTAAATACTAAGGAATACTAAAGGTTTAGTCATGCAGCAATTGAAGCAGCCAAGATGTACATTTAGAAATGCAGTCAGCTGTGCAGCAAATTTGACCTGCTGCAAGGGACCTGCGTTATGATGCCAGAATCTGCACTACATCAACTTCGCTCTCATCCACCTCCCTCCCCCCTTCTCTGTTTCTGTTGCGTCGTCTTCTCCCCTCCACACATACACACAATCTTTTGCACACAAGCCTGTTCAATCAGATAAACCGAAAAACACAGCCATTCCACCACCCCAAAGGCTAATACCACCTCATGTCACCCACCATCCTCTCTCTCTCTCCACACAGCATTCAGCTGCAGAGCTGGTCTAGACCCCTGCCTCTATAAATAGCAAGAAGCACCCATGTCACCACTGACAGTTATACCTCCAAACACAGATCAAAACAGTGACTGTTTTCACTGATCAACACAGTGAAATTATGACGTATTATTTATGTGATTACAGACCACCGACCTTTTCACATTTGCCTTTGCCATTTCATATTGAGTTCAGCAATTTCACAGGGTGACAATCAGACTATGGTTAAGATTGTGCAACCGTAACCCCGCTAGCCTATACGCTTACATTATTACAAACCGCTGAGGCACCAAGTCTTCACGTAGTGCTATCATCAAACAAATTGCACTTTGTCAGTAATTGACAATACATCTCCCTCTGTCACATCTCTTTTTTCTCTGTTTCTTTCAGCACAGACACCATTCAGTCCGTCCATCTATTACCCCAGCAGGAGCAGCTGTGCAGCTGCTGCAGCATCAATAATTGTTAGCTGCCTAGGCCCTAGGTTCCCTAAAGGGATACTGGGAAGCCTGGGTATTTATAAGAGTGTAATCTCCTACCTGGGTTGCACTCACACTTCTCCCATCCCTGTGACCGGGTGACCCAGGGGATGGGCTGTTGGATGGACAGTTCTAAGCTTGCGACATGACAGCCAAGCAACATGAAATGACAGGGCGGAAAGAGGGATGAGAATTAGGGGTGGGGGAGGAGGGGAGGCCCCTGCCTAGGGACAGTATAGCAATGCCACAGGTTTGTGTAGGAATAGACACTTTCTGTGAACAATGTTGTAATTCCTCCTGATACTATGTTCATTTAATTTGTGTATTGTATATGCCTTAATTAAGTATTCTTATTTAAATCTACTCCTCTTTACACACAGCAGTGTCAGACGACTTGAGACCAACCTCTTTCCTGCCTAACAGACAACGATATGGGATGATTAATGTTATAAGGTAAAATATTTTTATGTATCATTTTCTTAAGGATACTTACATTTCAGCACAACATAACGGAAGCACTGATTTAAAAAGGTTCTGTAAACGATCGTCACTGCCACTAGATGTTGCAATAGGCCACCGGGATCTCAGACCAAAACAAATGCTTCGTCAGACACACCTCTGGCCTCCCTTCAGCCACAACTACCCCCTTCCCTTCTTGTTCTCAGTCAGCAAAGGTGTTACAAAGCTCAGTGAAAGCACCCACTGAACACAACGAGAAGCACAACTGACTGAATTTGCACTGTGTACAGGAGAGCCAACAAAAAACAATCCAGGCATAACCATTACCGCTAGCGATAGCCACATTTGCCAAGTAAATTCATAACAAGTTAGCCAATGTTATAATGCCTACAGTAGCTGGTCACTAATGAAAACAGACATGTAACATTATGTACTCATCAAGTTACTTACGCAATGAGAAGAAAAGACAGTTCCGAGTCAAGCTGGAGCCCTTTAGCAGCTCGTAGGTAGCTCTCCATCGGCGTAAAGCCAGAACAGTATTGGCTGGGAAAGAAATTCAGCCTTGGACATATCACCAGCTGCAGGAATGACACTGATGGAGCCGGAGAAAAGCTTAAAACCTTTGTGGATGTTTTGGCGGTCCACTGGCCGACTGGGATTTGTCAAGATTTTGCCAGTTGTCCCCATGGCCTGTCCACCTGCGCCCTCATCTAATCTTTCTTTGTCAGTGGCCTTTTTAGCCAAAAAACGTGGTTTCTTCAGTGGAAGAAATTCTGGAAGGTTGCTTTCACCCGAATACTGTGTACTACACTGTGTCATCTCGCATGTGGGCGGTCCCTGTACGAGAGGAACAATGTTTTATTAGAAAGGGACTCATATGCACACGCATATGCGCTAACATGCATGCGCTGCCGTCCCAGATACTAAAGCAAAGAGAAGAGAAGCTCAGATTGCAAAACACTCAGAGGGGGTGTGACTTCATTCTCTGCTCAGGACGCCATTACTCCACTATATCTTTACATAGAAAATAGTTGTTTGCTGCTATATTATTGGTTAAACTTTACAGAACCTTTAATGTTTACTATGATAGATTATGTTTCATTGTTCTTGTTTTGTATAATGTACAACAATGAAGAGTGGTAAAGGCCAGGGAATGCATTTACAGTAGATACATAAATTTAGTGAGTTCATGTACAAAATGTGTTTGTCTGGATGAAGGTAGGAAGTGAGCAGATGACAAGTAAAGGATACATCCGTACTCCGCCTGATCTTGAACCGACAGCCAGGATCTTCTGCACAGGGTCAAAGGCCAATGCAGTGGGCTGGTAAGGGAAACCATGACGCACCGTCTGCAAGGAAAAGATACAGAGCAATATTGTAATTAAACGAGAAAAACATTTTAGGAATATTTTTTAGGGTAATTAAATGATTTTATCATTTAATGATTTTGCCTGCCCCTATGACATTAAACTGTGTGGTGAATCCAGATGAAGCTTTGTGATTTTGTAAAACTGATCTTTAATTCTGTAAAAAGAAACAATGATGACCCTATCCCCTGAAATGTTATTATTTTAACAAGATAACTAATGATGTCAAGGACATTGAATGGTGTTACTGACAACAAATATTTGTATGACTGCCACTTTATTAATTTAGGCTGCCAATAAAACAAAAGCTTTTATGATAAAAAAAAAAAAATTCTTCTCTTTCATTTGTTCGATTGCTGTAGTGACAGTCTGCTATTTCAGTAATGCTTACTGTTTGAACCTGCAGCTGAGGTAAAGCACTAATGTGTTTACTTATGTTAATTTAGTCCACTACCTGCACTAAAACAAGAAATTAAAAATGCAAACAACAAGCGCATCCATATAGCTGCAAATGCACATTAATAGTTGCAAAAATCTTATTGAAATTCAGAAACCACCTTCTAATAATGTTGCATGAAAGTGAACTAGCCTCAACATTCATATTCCAAGGCCTGACAAGACAAAACAACACCAGCTCTCACACTCACACGTTTGAGATGCACTGCAGCTGTCTGCAATTAGTCGTATTTAATTTCCCGGCAGTGCATCACTCACAGTAATCTGCTCTGGAGGGATGTAGAGACATGGACATCAGCAATGTTGAATGGAAACATTATCACATGATATTACAGTCAACCGGTGAACTGCAGCAAGTACTGTAATAATATACAACTCAGAATAAAAATAAAAAATCTGACCATAATTTTATCTAACTAGCCCATGAACCGTGGTGACTGGTGATTTTAATTATTAGACCTCTTCTCAGGACTTCATAAAGCCATGTGTACTGTGGGTTAATGGGAGAGCTCCTGTTGACTTTGTTGTTCATGTTGGGGTAGAACAATTTACACCTTTATCATTATGTAATTCCCACCGAAGCACTACTCACCTTCAAGCTGGGCAGAGGTCTAATACAACTGCAAACAGCAGTGTGGGTGGGCAGGGCCTTTCATGAAAGTGATACATAGATCTTTCTACTGCAAGTAACAATGCATCACATACCCCTGCATTCACTAAACCTGCTCGACATTAGTATAATTACATTTATAAAAGATAAAATGTTTCATCTGTAAAATTCTTAACAGAAGTCAGTCAATAATGACTCCCACCCCCCACCCCACCCCCACCTCACCCCCTCCTCATTGTCAGGACAAACACTTTTGTTTGGCTGTCTGAAATGTTTGTGTTCTCATTAATAGAGCAGATGCAAGAATTTGGAAAGATAACATGAGAGTCTGTGGATGAATTAAAATGGTTATAAAACACAGAATACAATCACTCAGCGGTGAGCCGACTCAACAGAGGAAAATGAAAAACACAGACAAAAACTGAATCACACTACAGCCTACAGCCTCACACTACAAGCGGACAGGGTGCAAATTGGTCTTTGTGTGTCTGTGTTCATGTGTTTGCACTATGTCCAATTCATATAGTAAACAAGAGCTTCTGTGGGTCTACATGGGCATGACATGTTTTATTTATCTTATATTCAGGGTAAAAAGTGTGTGTGTGTGTGTGTGTGTGTGTGTGTGTGTTGTAGCACACCAATTAAGGGTACTTGACCTTCAGATGCACGTATGTCTGTCACATCACTAATACATGCACAGCGGGGTTCCACTGCTACATTTAGACAAATGAGCGCCTTGCATATAAATGGAGTAGTAAACAATAATATAAACAACATTTATGTAACAGATAATAACAGTAAGCCTAGCATCATACAGTCCATGGAATCTGACTTTAGCACATCTATAATGAATGAACAGTCAGTATTTGCTTCGTCTCGTAATGATTAATATTTGAAATATTTCATTTCACTCTCTGTGTATTCTGTTTTTAAAGTGCATGGGCAGCACACAGAAATTACTGGAAATTCTACTGTTTTTATTTTCATTAATCTGTTTTACTCCAGATTAGATACAGTGTTGAACACTAATTAGAAATCTTGGATTGAATTGCTGTTTAATTCTTTTATAGCTTGAACCCATCAGTTCAGACAGCCCAAAAAACATGTTGCACACAGGAGCTCTACCAGGTACTTTTCATGTAGTGCTTTTGTACTTTCTTAATAATGCTTGATAAAAAACTATCCAAATAAATATACTTTCCCTGATGTGGCCATTTAATAACACTGAAATAACACACGAAATTCAGGTAATACATTTGCAAGGCATTGGCTTATAACAAAGATATGTACGATGAATTCCCAACACCAATAACTCAACACACAACCACATGCATTTTGTAGAGTTAAGGTATTTTAAAATCAACAAGCTTTGAGATTATAATTCTATTCCAAGATCTGGTGTATTAACGCATGAAACAGGGCGTTGGGGTGGCACTTGATACCAGAAGTGACTATGACATTTTAAGGGGTTAAAAGTAGGTGGTACAAAATTTGAGGAATGGGAACTGACACACGCCTTCACCCTATCATTAAGAATCACTTGCCTTCTCCATCACCGAAAGAAACAGGAAGGTCAATTCTTCATCCCAGTTGTCAGGCAATAAATGTTTGAGACTTTGGCAATGGAGAGAGTTTAGGATTACACTGGCAATGCTGTTTCAAAGCAAACACATAGAAAGACTACTCTGACTAAAACTCTGATCAACACCAAATGCATCAGCAAATGAGTCTGACACTGCAAAATGTGTGGGTCACACGTACACATTAATATGCAAAATACATATGTAAGGGCTATGCACACGCAGCGGAGAAACACACATATTGTAGGGAGAACACATTCATCCTCCAGGTCTTGCCACCAGGCTCCTTTTGGTTCTCTAGCCTGATTTTAGTGCACAGTTGCTGGGATACAGGAGAGCCACTCCCTATATACATAGAATACACCAAGAAGTGGATGAGAAATACATTTACTCTGGTGGCTCTCCGTGCTGTTCATACATATTTTAAAGTCAAAGCCATAAAGCCATTTTTCTCCCTCTTTTAGTGTGTATTTTTGTGAATATGTGTGTGTGTGTGTATCACCAGGTTCACCCATAATTCCATCCTCTATCTTTTATTTATCTATCTACAGTAACGTGTCATTGCATTTTTATATTGCCTAAAATAGAGGGACCTAATAAAGGTTGATTGGGCAGCTGTTTACAGACATACCTTACCAGCTTGTGTGATCAATCCCCATCAAAGACAGCCCAAAATGTAACAGGGGAAAGCTAAATACTAAGGAATTACTAAAGGTATAGTCATGCAGCAATTGAAGCAGCCAAGATGTACATTTAGAAATGCAGTCAGCTGTGCAGCAAATGTTGACCTGCTGCAAGGGACCTGCGTTATGACTGCCAGAAGCTGCACTACATCAACTTCGCTCTCAATCCACCTCCCTCCCCCCTTCTCTGTTTCTGTTGCGTCGTCTTCTCCCCTCCACACATACACAATCTTTATGCACACAAGCCTGTTCAATCAGATAACCGAACACAGCCATCCACACCCCCAAAGGCTAATACCACCTCATGTCACCCACCATCCTCTCTCTCTCTCCACACAGCATTCAGCTGCAGAGCTGGTCTAGACCCCTGCCTCTATAAATAGCAAGAAGCACCCATGTCTACCACTGACAGTTATACCTCCAAACACAGATCAAAACAGTGACTGGTTTCACTGATCAACACAGTGAAATATGACTTATATTTATGTGATTACAGACCACGGACCTTTTCACATTTGCCTTTGCCATTTCATATTGAGATTCAGCAATTTCACAGGGTGACAATCAGACTATGGTTAAGATTGTGCAACCGTAACCCCGCTAGCCTATACGCTTACATTATTACAAACCGCTGAGGCACCAAGTCTTCACGTAGTGCTATCATCAAAACAAATTGCACTTTGTCAGTAATCTGACAACAGACAATTGAAAAAATTGCATAAACAGAGGAACTAAGTACCAAGTTACATTTTATCACTTTTCTTTAACTAAAGATCACCAACATCGATAGATACTGGCAAATTAAATGGCCACAGTTTGGGAGGAACTACAGAGAAAGGGAGCAACAAAGCCCACAGAGGTGAAACAAGACCGTACAGTGGATCTGATGCATTACCCTGCGAGCGAGGGAGAAAGAGCGACAAAAGAGCGAGCAAGACAGTGTCGAGTTTCGCTTGCCTCTCTCTCTCGCATACCTTGGTTGACGACAGTACATTTATGGCCATGTTAAAACTAAACAAAACTGTCACCACAAATAAAGCAATAATTATTTACACTTAACATTCAAAGTATTCACAATATTCACTTAAAACTCAGCCGTGTAGGATGACTGTTGACCAGGTAGCGAGATTGAGATGTCACTGATTCACTGCTGTGGCCCCTTCAATATGACACATGGCAACATCACAGCAGGAGCTCAGTAGATAGTGGGACACATGAGTAATGTACTGAGCAGCCTGGCCTTGATAGTTCCTGGATACATTTATCTACACATTGTTGTGTAGATAAGTGTAGATGAATGTATGTATCTCAGAGTCACAAGAAAAGTGCCGTGCGCAAAGATCAAGAATACATGGAGGATAGGATGAAGAGACCACTTGTGATGTGCAGTTTGAAGCATGAGCAATAAGTGGTAAATAATGCATAGTGAGAATAGTATATGTGTGGACAGCAGAGGAAAGCAAAAGAAAATGGAAACGATGAAGAGAAACGCACTGTATATGGAAAAACACAAGCATAATGTTAATAGCATAATTGTATACTTTTCTTGTGAAAACAGAAAGTGCAATTTCATTTTCGGTGTGTGATGACACCAAAAATTGTCTCTTTGTATACTAAAAATGTACCAAATTCTATTCTTCATCTTAAGTCTGA